GACTAAAATCCAAAATTTATCCCAGAATATTTGCTGAACTACAATATTTGTGCCACACAGTAACTGAAACACAGGGTCGTGTTATCAGAAACTATCCATTATAATTCCTTAGAAAACAAAACCCTATAAAAAAAAGAATCAGGAAAGAATCCCCCCCCCTGAGACTCTGGCTTCTGCCTGTAATAAAGTTTTATCCTTTCTAATTCCCATCACGATCAATAAGTGTTAGCTATATTTGTAGTCTTGCAAGGGGGGAGGGGCTTTGAGAAATCTACACTTTGAAGGGAGATTAAAATGCATATTTTGGATCTGCTCCCTCCATTCCTGTGTTGATAGAGTAAATTTACAAAATCATAACTGCATTCAGTTTAATGAGCTAGAATACTCTGCACAATTGGAAACTGAACTATCAGTTATGTGAAATATTGTCACCACATTCAGCTGAACAGTTTTCCTGCAGGCCATCTCTGTCATCTCAGGGAAGTTAGGGATAGAGGAACCAGCGCTCCCAATCATTTTTGTATAGTAATGGTCCCCTGGATCCTTATGTTTCTGCCAACATGGAACAGAACTTCCCAAGGTTTGGCTTACAAATTTGCAACAACAGTGGACAATAGAGCTTGAAACACTAAAAACATAATCCAGTATATATCTTCATAGTTTCTTTTTGCCCAAAGTAATATCTTGTGCGCTCCCCCCCCTCTCGTTTAAGAGAAAGAACTCTGTTCAAATGGACAAGATTTTTTTTTTCCTTCAAATTCAGAAAAGCCAGTGTGAGAGTTTAGGGAATCTGTAGAAGTTCTAGAGCTGTACAATCCCATAAAGCCAGTGGCACATATAATATATCCAACTGAGTTGGGCTTTGTTACTATCTGAATGGGAGACCTCTAGGAAACATCAGGATTTTAATCTAGATTGGATAGTGAAAACTATATGAATATATCCACGAGGCTACTAAAAATTGAAATCAGCCCAAAGGAGTCCCCCCCCTTTCATATATGCCATTAAAGTATGTAAGCCAATGCAATTTTTTTTAAAAAAGTAATCTAATGAAAAAAAATGCAATCATGAGTCTAATTTGATTAGAAGGACAGTTTACTCTGGAGAAAAAGAGCAAATCCTGATTATTTCCAAACTGTATGCTTGGCTTTACAAGTTTAGATAACTAATAACTTTCAGCTCAAGAGTTAACAAAAAATATTAGTCCCCAGCCATTTCCCAAGGAGTATGGAATATGGATCTTTTGATTATTCAGCTGATCCAATACAAATATAAGCAAGAGCTGTTCTGTGATTCAGCTTATTCCACCTACTATCTTAACAACAACAAAAACAGTGACCAGATTCAGACCAGACCTAGAAGCAGCAGCAGCAGGCAGGCAATACAGCAATGCAGCCAGCAGTTGAGTGGCAGGGACTATAATCATAAATGCATTAAGTGAGAAGAGGGAGGTAGTGTTTCTAATACTTCTAGAACTATTTTAGTTCTGTTTGCAATGTTAAACTGAAAAACAAACAATTTGTTTTCTTCCTTCCAGGTGCATTCAAAAGCAGGCATAAAGGAAACCACAGTACATATTATATGTAGTTCTTTAAAATAATTCTTCGCTGGAAAGTACCTTTTTGTTATTTTATACAGGCACTGTTTTCAGCACCATGCTGAAATGAACAGCACCTGCCTCTCCTATTTCTGTTCCTGTCTTTCTCTTTTGCTCACAAGCCAGAGCCAAAATGACACACACACACACACACACACACACACACACACACACCCATATACAGGAGACCAAGCTCACCAGGCCTGAAGGATTTCTGGGATTTGCAGAAACATACATGTTTAGGGTGGGAAAATCCTTAGAGAATCCCAAAACCAGCTCAGAGAAGGCTGAATGGTCATTCAAAACTACTGAAGTGGAAATGGAGAAACAAATTTGGGGAGGAGATGAAATAGAACATCTTGGAGGAGGTCATAGCTAACAAACTGAAAATCAACAGGACACTCCACACTGTGATATTTTATGGCACACCTCATCGGCATTTAAGGAATTGTCCAACTGACTTTCCAGTTGAGAAACTGTAAAAGGCAATGCCTTACCCAAAGACGAAACTCAAAGAAACTTACTTAAAGATGCCATCTTATTCTACAAATATGTTTGTAGTATAATTTAAAAAAAACCCTGTGGTTGTAGCATCAAGTAACATTTCATATTTTTAAAAATGCAAATAACCTGTAAAACAGCAGGATTACTCATATGGATTATGAGTAAAACCAACCTCTACCATCATCCAACTCAAAATGTGTATTTCTTTTCTAGATCCAAAGGATATACAGTACGCCCTTTCTATTTATAGTTAATCTTAATAAAATCACTATCCTCATCCAGGCTAGGCATCTTTGCTTTATATTTTATGACCATTACAAGCATATTTCTTAGGTTGTTTGCACATTAACATAAACATTGCTTAGCAACCAACTGATACTTTAAACTCCAGGCGTCAAATGATTCTATGATTCTGTGAAATGCAGGATGGGTTAATGAAAAGAACCTCTAGTGGTTTTTTTTGATAATTTATATCTCTGTGAATACAGATTCTTCCAAATTAGACCAATGACAGAACCTAATATTTAGAAACTCATGCCTTCCATATGCATATTAATGACTGAAATGTTGGCAGTATAGACTGCTTTTTGGTTAGAATTAAAAGCTGGGATCCACTTGCAAGAATCCACTGAGCTTGATGTATAATGGTTGACTTTGTTTTTTGTTTGTTATAAAGTAAGATAATGACAGAAAATGTTTTTTCTTCAACTAATAGTTTTATGACAAAATTGTTTAACATGCACTCAACAATTTTGGAATCATGCAACATCTCCTTTTCAGCTACACATCTTATGCCTATCCCATCATGCTATACAATATTCTTCATCCTTTGACTTTTTTTAGTCATCAGTATATGTCCTCAATAATCCAAAACATCTTTCCATTCCTGGGCTATTATAGTAAACCAGTGACAATAAGTGAGCCAATATGACAAGACCAAGTTTGCCCAGAATATGAACTGATCAATGAATATGCAGTTGTTCCTATTTCACATCTTACTTGATACAAAGTGGGAGCAAGGTCATAGTGATGCAGAAGCACACATCAAGTTTCAAGAGAAACCACTATAAAACCATTGGCTTTGCTCCAAGCAATGTTTTAAGGAGTTGAGACATATCATTCCAACAGATAGATGTGCTGAGATATCAGTATCCATACATTTAATTAAGGGGAAATCATTGGGTTTTGCTAAAATAATTGTTATGGGAAGTTGGGTTTCTCTGGCTTCTTTCTCAAGAAAGATCTGTTCCTAACATTTTCAAAAAGCAAACTGGAACACAGCATGGAAACATGGCTTTCCCCTTCTCTAGTCATCCTTCAACTGAGGAAAGAACATGTGACAGGAGAGGATAATTAGAATTGAAAACTGCAGTATTAAAGGACAAATGGAGGGAAAACAGGAAGGCAGAGCTTGGGATGCAAGTATTAAGGGGAAATCTTTCCCTTGAAGGAACTACTAGACCAGGGGTAGGCAACTTTGGCTCTTTTATGACTTGTGGACTTCAATTCCCAAAATTCCTGAGCCAGCCACGCTGAGGGGAAAGGGAGAGGTTTCCAAGCTGAGCCATGCTGGGTCAGGAATTCTGGGAGTTGAAGTCCATGAGTTATAAAAGAGCCAAGGTTGCCTACCCTTGTACTAGACTAATCCAGGGCTAAATTGTGGGCCAGATAATCAGATCTGGACTAAAGTGTATCAGAAAGGTCCAGAGACAGGGTCACATTTCAGGCAAAAATCTTGGATACATTTCTGGTATGGAGGAAAAAGTTGAGACGCACTAAGGAGAAAGAAAAATATAAAGGCAACAAATGGAAATTGGTAATGAAATCAGTGAGCTAAATTAATGCAGGCCAGAGAAATATGGTAAGAAATGGCTAAGGAATGGGTCTGGGGTGGAGGAGAGTATGACCACTGGCTATTGGTTATGCTCCTGATTCTTTAATATGAACTTAAACGGACAGAGGTAAAACTTCATGTTTCATATCTTCTTAACATCAGTGGTATGATTTTAGTATGTTCTAATCACGAGCAATCATGCAAACCACGGCATAAATAATTAGTAACCATTTGAAATACCATACTGTGGTAGGAAGAGGACCAGCTTAAGAAAACCAAATGAGAAACTAAGGGGTTCTTCACCAGGAAGGTGACTGGGAGAAAGTGGAAGAGAAGGAAAAAATAGCCCTTTCCAACTAAACAATCTTCAGATCTGAGGGATCACTCTCAACCACTCACAAACCAATATTCTGGGTTAGATGGGAAGCTTGAGTTGGAAAATGCGAGCAAGACCTCAAGGAAACCTGGAAGCTAACAGGTTGGGAGAAGGAAGGGGAATGCAGACCTTGGAAAACCTGAAGATGGGGGGGAAAAAAGGCCCCAAGGGAGAAGGTGAAATTTGAGGGTATGGGAAAGTGTGTCAGCTGAAGGAAGGAGAGGAGGGGGTGAAGAGCATTCAGAAAGGGCAACCAGGGGAATAGGACAGACAGCCGAAAGCCTGATGCTGCCAGGTATAGCTGCATGAGCACCAGTGCGGGTTTCTTCACCCTATGAAGTTTGAGATCACTTCCACCGGCCTCCAGATTCTGGCAGGAAATGTAAGACTTTCACTCAAGCACTTCTCATGCTCCTCTCCATTGGGTGTGGGTCCGCGCGCGCGCGCGCGCGCGTGTGCTTTGTACTACACCAGCATCTAGATGAGGAGGAGGAGAGAGAAAAGCCAACCGCGTGTGTGTGTGTTTGTCTGTATGTGACAGCCAGGACGTGTCCAGGGATGAACATTCCTGCAGCAAGAGCACGCTTTCCCCCTCCCCTAAGCCGGTAGACACAAAGAGGGCGGGGGAGTGCAGGAACAGCCGCCGCTTTAGGCTTGAAGAGGGAGGGCGAAGGGTAGGTGACACTCACCTGCTTCGAGATTGAAGGAGATCCTGGCCTCGGCTAGGTAAGGCGTGTCACTCTTGGACCGAACTCTCCGGATGGGTCTCCTGTCTATGTCCTCTTCGGAAGAAGCCGCCATTAATGTGGGTACAGTGAGCAGGGTCGCCCGGCGAGCTGGTGTAGAGGAAGCAGCGAGAGGGGTGGGGGTGGAAAAGAGGAGGAGGGCGCACACGCAAAGAAGGAGTAGGGGAAAGAGAGGAGCAGGGACACAGAGAGGGAGAGACACCGGGAGGGAGGGAAAGAAAAAATAAAAGAGAGAGAGAGAGAGAGAGAGAGAGAGAGAGAGAGAGAGAGAGAGAGAGAGAGAGAGAGATGGGGAGAGAAAAGGAAAACCCGTTAAGGATTTCTGGATTGGAGCTGAGCTGGAAACCTTGCCCTGTCACCTTCTGGCAGCCTTGAGACAAGCGGGTGAGGCTCCACGTGGGACCTTACACAATCTAACAAAGCCTGGTCCTTTGCCTGGAAGCTGCAGATAAAACGGCCACTTGAGAATGGCTCATTCAAGTCCAGAGATTTGCCTATCAAGATTGAGGAGCTTGGTTGCCTCATAGTATTTGGGTAGGAGAGAGAAGCAGCAAGCAAAAGAAAAAAAAACACCAGCTGAGGAAACACGTGAGACCATTTGACATGGCAATGCATCAGGTGGACACACCTCTTTCTGTGAAGATAGATATTACATATACATGAAACACACACATACACAGTACATACGCTGCCCACTCCATTGTAGGGATCAAAGATTGGACTAAGGTGGCATGCAACTTCTTGGTTCTGTGTAAGTGTGAAGCCAGTTATTGTAACTGGCAAATTATGTATTAAGGCTTAGTATTTGGCCACTATGGTGTTTTCAAAAAGTGATGCCTTGAGGTGATGCATGATCTGAGCAGCCTCTCTTTAAAAAAAAAAATGAATGCAAGAATGAAAACAAATGAGGTGCTGGAATTCCAATTCCTGGAGTTTCCATCAGCAATGTCAACAAAGTTTTTGGAGTTGAGGTTCCAAACACACCTTGAGGTCTACAGTTGGAAACGTCTCCTTGGCAGCAATGTCATAAAAACTTCCACTTGTGTGAATTTCAGCTCCCAGGATTCACAGTAATGACCATTCTGGTTGAAAAGTTCTGGGAGTTGAAGTTCATAGGAGATTACACACAAAAAAAGTTCTCTCTCTATTTTTGCCGAATGATGAATAATTGTAAATATGATTAATTGATACAGCAGACACAGCAAAGTAAACCCCCTTTATAGTAAAAAGTTCAAGTGCTCCCAGAATTTAGACAAACAACAATGGTAAATAAAAAAACAATAGTTGAGTAAATTAATAGTTTGTCTATACCAGAGTTAGGCAACCTTGGCTATTTTATGACTCGTGGACTTCAACTCCGTCCACGAATCATAAAAGAGCCAAGGTTGCCTACCCCTGGTTTACACAAACTACGTTTAAGGAATCACTTTGTAGCCCTCAGTATTTTCAGGAATGGACACCATACAAATTAAATAAATACTTTTTATGGGATTTTACTGGAAGGCAGGAAACAACCATAAGTGCCTTGTGTGAGAAACTATTCTAAGAACCTGTTTCAGTAACTGTATTAGTACTGGATAGATCTTTCTGGTGGAATTACAGAATCATAAACTGTACAGGTTAGAAAGGGCCTTGGAAATAATGGACTCTCACCCCCAGGAATCCACTCTTACGCACCCCAACCTTTACTCAAACATCTTCAGCAATGGGGAATCCATTCCATCCTGAAGGAATTTGTTTGTTCCGTTTCTGAATATCTCTTACCAGGAGGCAATGTCTCCTGCTATAAAGAAAATGGGAGATGATCTTGAAGAAAGTAGGCAAGAACTACAATATTACCTAAGCAAAGTTTCCTTCAGTCCTGGGGAAAAAAGTGACAGTATTCAGAAGAGAGGCAGGGTCTCTTCAAGTTCCCCTGATCCTCTGAGATATAAGAGAGAAGGGATGTAAAATGCAATCAGGCTTGCAAGGTTCTGTATTCATTTTATTCTCAGTAAAGTAAAGCTCTCAACTTCCTTTGAAGTTGGCTTCCTTATTGGTTCTACTTCATAGAGCGGATACCTGGTGACCAATAAAAAAAAGTCTACTTTCTCTGTTTAAAGATTCCCATTGCTTCTTGTTCTATCTCCCGGAACAATACCCATCAGTTCTGACTACTACTACTACTACTACTACTACTACTACTACTACTACTACTACTACTTCTTCTTCTTCTTCTTCTTCTTCTTCTTCTTCTTCTTCTTCTTCTTCTTCTTCTTCTTCTTCTTCTTCTTCTCCTCCTCCTCCTCCTTCTTCTTCTTCATCTCTTTCTTTCTTTCAGATTTTTGAAGATGGCTATCATGTCTCTCTCACAGTTTTCTTTCGCCTGATCCAAACATGTATTTATTCATTTCAGTTTATATACTGTCCCATCTCAACCTTGTGACTCAAGATACCCAGCCATTCCTCATACATTTCCCACCTTTTGGCTCTATTATTAAGATTTAAATTTATGAGCTGCCCATTCCTTTATCATGCTAGTTGTTCCTCTTTGATCCTATTCCAGTTTGAAGGACCCTTTTTCTCAAATGTGATGCCCAGGACTGGACACAATAGTGAAAGTGCCATCTGACCAATGCAACATAGAGAGGAACAATGAGAAATGCAGTGCATATTTTCACATTTCAGATTCTGATATTACCTTTCCACATGAGCAGTGCCCTGAAGAACATCTTTCTTGAAGTAGTACATAAATTAAATTTCAATCTAATTATGAATTTGGCCCTCAGTCTTTCTCTAGACTGAACATGCAAAAATGCCAGAACGATGGAGGAGATTTTTGCATCAAAGGTATTGCCTTACCTGCATTTGTGCAAAAGAAGATGCACAATTGAACATATAGCATAATCCATACTAAAGTCCTTCTCTAGGGCCCAAGAAATGATCATCTGATATGCACATGCAGCTGAGACCACGTACTAGTCCACAACAGATTCTTGATGTCTTCCATGAACAATACTGATTAGGCTCAGTGACATTAAATACATTTATTTGTTTTTGGTGCAGCAAGGAAGTGAAATGTAATGGATGCAGGCACTTGCAGACTCTTAAACCAATTTGCAAGAACAATACATTTCATCAAATAATGCCATGTGAGTATTTATCACATGCATAAAGACATTGGGGCAGATGGTACTGTGAAAATTGGAAAACTATTACCATTAAACATTAAGCAGCTGTTTTCATCAAACCACCACAAGGAAATGGATCTATTAGGCACTTAACATTTCAAAATGTAAATGTTTAGGTATTTTATAAATGTATAATTATACATATATTATAGAAGAATCCAAAAGGGCAAAGGATTGAATTAATGCAGAAGGCCTGATACTCCAACCTAACAGTCAAATATTTAGTATTAATATTAAGTCTTACGCCTTTGGGTTATCAGCTAGAAATCCTGATAACTGCATCCGGGGATGGAGAAAAGCACATTAGAAGAGATACTTCAGCACAATGCCTATTGTCAAAGAGCTCTTGTTAGAAATCAATTATCAATCCCTGGTCTCCTATGGCAATCCTATGCCTAATCTTTCTCTTCCCCCCCCCCCAATCTCTATCATACTTGATTTTTAGCACTTGTTTTGTTGACTGATAATTCCCAATTAACCTTTCTGCTGTTGGTCGATTCTTGGGACCCAACTCTCTCTGAATAGCAAAATCATTGGCTGGCATCAATTCTCCCTCTTATATGATAATTAGGCAGTAGGTCCAAGACGTGGAACATAAAACAGAATAATAGAGTTGGAAGGGACTTTGGAGGTCTTCTAGTCCAGCCCCCTGCTCAAGCAGGAGACCCTATATCATTTCAGACAAATGGTCGTCTAATCTCTTTTTGAAAGCCTTCAGTGATGGAGTACCCACAATTTCTGAAGGCAAGTTACTCCATTGGTTAATTGCTCTAACTGTTAGGAAATTTCTTCTTAGTTTTAGGTTGCTTCTCTCCTTGATTAGTTTCCAGCCATTGTTTCTTGTCTTGCCTATTGGGGCTTTGGAAAATAGTTTGACGTGCTCATCTTTGTAGGAGCCCCTCAAGTACTTGAACAGTGCTATCATGCCCTCCCTAGTCCTTCTTTTCATTAGACTAGACATACCCAATTCCTGTATGTAATCCTTGTCTACATTCCTCACCATCTCCAGAAAAAGTGAGATAAGGTATAATCTATATCAGTATTTCTCAATATTGGCAGTTAGAAGATGTGCGGAGTTAAACCCCCACAATTCCCCAGTCAGCTATGCTGGCTGGGGAACGCTGGGAGTGGAAGTCCACGTATCTTCAACTTTCCAAGGTTGAGAAACACTGATCTATATAATGAGATGTAATGCATTTGGCAGGAGGTAACGACAAATCAGATCAGTACTGTTGCCAAGAAAACCACATAGGTATGTGTCCATTGATGAGTTCAGTTCAAAGGAACTTTTATCTTAAAAATGTTGAGGGATTAGAGCCCCATTCTTCAATTAATTCTCCTATGGATCCCTAGGATCTCATGTTTTTCAACAACTTGTTTTTTTTCATAACTGATTAATGGCAATTATTTATAATGAGCAAGATAGCATAGAAGTTTATTATTATTACTATTACTACTAACACCACCACTACTACTATTAATATTTTCTTTCACGATATTTTGTTCAAGAACATTCCAAGGGACACAACTTCTTGGTTGTGTTAGTGATTTAGATTATTGTTTCTTGGCTGCCTGTACTTTTAGTGTTTATAATATTTGTTATTATTTTTATTTTATTGTAAATCTCTTTCCTGCCCAGAGTCACTTCTTGTGATGGATAGATAAATAAATAAATAAACATTCTTTTACTTCCCCTTGGTAAAAATTCTAGTCTAATAAGGATTTTACTTATTATATGTCAAATTGCATCCCTACCAACAAGCCAGAAACCTTGACTTGTTTAACTCCAGGAAAAAATTGTAGCTGAAAGAAAACTCAGTTTCCTGGCATTCCCTTCCCCCAAATATGAGTAAGTTTGCATTTATAATGTATAATTTTCTCAGAACTTTGTAGGGAGGAGCAGAAGAGGAGGGAAAACAG